GCCTGCCCGTAAGATTCCTTCTTCCAACACAACTCGCGCTACGAGTCGCTCACTCGCAGAGCTTATTGGCTTTATTTCGAAACCGGCAGTTCATATCTATTTACTGGCGCTGGCTGGCTGATCCACGAGGAAATAGAAAACGGCTAGAGACTCGACCGAGCAGCTGGTCTACCTGCTGCGGCCTGGGATGCCTGGCGTGTTCCCGACAAATCGATAGGCTTTAATGCCCATCGTTCGTGTAACGCGCGTTACACTTTATTGGCGACGAGTGAGTTTCATCGTTCCTCGGCTACAAGACCGCGGAATTCATCGAACCAACGAACAACAACGCGGAACGGAACGCTTCTTTTCTTTATTTCGTTCGTCGGATGAGATTTGTTCTTAGGTCGATGTTCCTTCTGGTATTCTTCCCATTTGCTCCATCTCCTCCACTTTTTCCCTTTTTTATTCATTGGCGTTACAGTATAGTCAGTCGAGAGATCGACTATAAGGAGCTCGTGTAATATTCTTCCCTGCTTCTTAGAATTAAGACACAAAGTCATACATTCTGGTGAGAATCGTACGATTTAAAGTTATTGTTGATAATATCTATGAATCATTTCAAGTGGAGAAAGTATGTCCGCAATAGCTTTTTCTAAATCGTATTTTCACTTGCCCACATATTTCAACCGACGATAGGGCATAAATTATCTGTTTAATAAGGAATAAAATCTAATCTAATCTAATCTTAAATGTAATCTCCTGATAAATACAGATTGCGAATATCTCTGTCTATTCGCCTCGAAAACTTATTATTTTTCACACGAGGATGGTTGATTTCCCATCGACATATCGATCCTTCATATGGAGGAATTAGCGATCGGAGACCGAAAAGATGGACCATCAACGCGTCGACGACCATCGAGAACGACATAATTTCCACAAGCGAATTAATAACCATCGATCGACATCGATGGTGGTATTTTTCCCGGTGGACGTAGACCGAGGGTTCCGGCGTAGAGCAAATATCGCGGCGCCATTACAACACGGAGCAATTAAAACCGGCCAGCGGAAGTATTTTTCACCGTGTTCACCGCTGAATTCGCATTTGCCTCTTGATTAACCCCTCGTCGCCGATCATTCGTTCTCTCTTTTTTTCTTTTTTTCCTACTTCAACCGATTTGAGAAACGGTATTCTTGGAGAATTCTGAATCTCAGTCACGATCGATCTCGGCTAATTGAGAAGCGCTACGCGAGAGATCCGACAAATTCGCTGTTTCACCCGATAAAGAGGGCGAAGTTGCCCGTTAGCGCTAATCTCGCATGCGGCACGCTAACGTACCCGAGCCGCGAAACACGTTAATTGGCGTAATTAATTTCATTTAAAATCTCGCCGCTCCAGAAAGAGATTAAACAGGTAGCTTGGACATTGATATACCATATTCGGTTCCCCTCTCTGGTACTTCTTTCTGCTCCATTTTCGTTTTTCTTTTCTCTTTCTTCTTTCCTTTCTTTTCTTTTCTTTTCTTTTGTGCTTTTACTCTAGTCCCCGTGGCGATGAATAATTTCAGAGGAGAATCGCGCGGGAAATTCAGCTCGCCGAAAAATCGGCACGGTCGCGCGGCGTGTGTTTAAAAAGAGTACGTCTCTCTGCGGAACCCGATTAAATTCCGCGGGCGTTAACCACGCGCGTACTCTGTCTTGTTTTTTTTTCGGTTCGCGGCTGCCTCTGCGAGCCTTTCGCCTCTGGACGAAAGAAGTCCGAGTGAAAGCGAAGAGAAAGAGGCACGAAGAATGGGAATGAAGAGAGAAGAATAGACAGACAGAGAGAGAGAGAGAGAGAGAGAGAATGAAATGGGTGGAGGTGGAATTCACCTCCGCTAACGCAGTTTCCCAGACTCTGAAGCTGTCGCGTAGGCGTCGAAATAACATCTCTACAATTTTTCTTCGTTCCTCTAATAGTCTCTAGCACCCGTGCGATGTTACCTGACGCCTCCTGCCTCTTATGATTCCCCTCCTCTTCGGTTATACGAACGAGCCTGCCGAGCAAAGCCGTTTCATTTCGTAAAGTAATTGCGATCATCTCCGAGCCACGTTCGTTAACGAAGTATCGACGTGATTTTTCCGATAGCAGCGCACTGTCGACGAGAAAAAAGGAAGAGTCAAGACTCTTCGTCTCGTTCATCCACCGAAACGAAATCGTTTCTTCTTTTTCTTTCTCTCTCTGTCTCTCTCTTTCTCTTCGTCCCCGTAATAATCTCTTTGTGCTACTGAGTAACCGTACGGCTGAATTTATTGCGGCCTCCCTGCCGGAAACACGTCCGCAAGAAAATCCTCTCCGAGTAAGAAGCCTGATCTTCTCTCGATCTACCCGTTTTTTTGCCCGTTCTTACCTACGTAGCCTTTCCCCCCGTAGCCGGGAGAGTGAGTATCGAACGAGAGAGAGAATAGAGTCGAGTATGAAGAGAACCATCGCGTCGTCGTCGTCGTCGTCGTCTGTCGACGAGGAAATGGCGGACGATGACGACTACGAGGACGACGATGGCGACGACGACGACGATGGGCCCCTCCTTCTTGCCCGGTCGGAACTTTTTGCGGTCTCTCCCGGGACGAGCCCGAGTCAAGGGGGGCAATAAAACTAATGGTAACGCGCGCCGGTAATTCCTTGCGGTCTGTTTGTCGCAAGTCGACGACCTGGCCACTCCGCCTCGTCATTTGCCGCGGGAGGATACCCGCGTTCGAACGTCGACGGACAAGTGGTTCCTCGGGCTCGGACATGCACACGGGCCATCGCGTGAGTCTCTCTCTCTCTCTCTCTCTGCCTCTCCCTCCCTCTCTCGCTCTTTCGCTCTTTTTCGCTGATCGCTGTCCACCCGATCCAGCCGATAGAGATCGACGAACAGCGTCTCTATCCGATTCTCCCCTCTTCCTCTATCGAGCGGATAAATCTGTCCAGCGACGTGGACACGCGGAGAGCTAGAGCTCCTTGTCGTCCTCCACTCGGATTCTTCGCCGACTTCCGTAATCCGTCTTCGTTGTTTCTGTAAATATCGTCAAACCGAGGAGGTTCAGATCAATAGAGAAAGAGAGAGAGAGAGAGAGAGAGAGAGAGAGAGATGTGTGGAAGAACTCTCGTCCAGGGAAGGTAGTTGCGACTTGGGGGTTCCCAGGGCAAAGCTGATTTCGTAGATGCTGACTCGGTGAAATCTCGCGTAATCCGAACGCAAACAGCCAAAGTCTCTCCTCGGAGAGGGGTTCTCTTGAAAAGGGGATCTCGAAGCTCGCGTCTCGCGTTATTTAAACAACGTTTATCTTATCGAAGTTAATTCGGCCGCGCGCCCGTGGGTCGAACGAAAAGACCCGGCACGTTGTTTTCGCGGTTAATCGGCGGATTGCAGCAAAATTAACATCGTCCTGTGGTCTCGTTTGATTACAGTGGGTGGAAGAGTCGTTCACCAACTTCGACAAGGGCATCAATTGGCGGAGTTACGTCGTCTGCGACGTGGCGTACAACAACGTGAACAATTGGCTATGGACGCCGTTCATCGAGAGGGGACCGGCGAACCGCATGTACATAGAAATCCAATTCACCACTCGCGACTGCTCCCTGTTCCCCGGGAACGCGCTCAGTTGCAAGGAAACTTTCAGTCTACTTTACTACGAGTTCGACGTGGCTACCAAGGAGCCGCCGCCATGGGAGACGGATAGTTACAAGTTGATCGGTAAGCCTTTGCCAAAACGTTACAGCTACCGTTTGACAAAAAAATGGCAAAACCAATCAAACGTTCCGTGCCAAGCTATTTTTGCCTTTTGTTGTCGTTCAGGCCATTTGAT